ATAAAACCCAAGTTATGACACTCTTCAGATGTATATCAGTAGGTCATAAGCTTGGGGGGAATGATTGCCAACAGTACTAAGTGGGGGGGGGCGCTTAGAGATAAAGTAAGTTTCCAAAGCAACTTTTATATGTTAAAATAGGCGTGCAGGGTCTTGGGGGTTGGGCTAAGATTTAGCCTTTTGCCCTTAGCAAGCGTCAACATCCAGGCGGTTGAGTTCCAAGAGGAATGTCACTCTGCCTGTTTAGAAGAACTTGTCAGTGGGCTGTAGGTAGTAAGGACATTTAATACTTTTTCTTCTGCCTCTTTCTATCCCACATGATTAGGCGCTGATATCAATTTGTTTTCTTATAGCTAATGCTTTTATCGGTTTGGTGCTCTCTGACCCATTTCTCCCCTATATTGTTCACATTTCCCTCCCTTACCACTTGTAAGGATCTGCGATGGATTTACTGAGCAGTGTGCGGAAACCATCCCATTTAAACTGGAGACTTTCTCCTGAGTTTCTTTTTGCTTGGAGTTTCTGTTGAGGAGAGCAAAGACAAAAGAAGTGAAATTTCCTTACTACTTGCCTCTAGAGCCAAATGCAACCTTAACTTGACAAAAGCCAGACCTCCGGGCTCCTGGAAGTCCTTTTTAGCCTAACATGAAAATCCCTTTTAAATTTCCTTCGCCTCTACCCTCACTAACTTGAAAGTGTACTGGCAGTGGTTCCTCACAATCACACTGCCACTAGCTTGCTTGATTGCTTTTTTTTTTTTTTTAGATTTTTATTTATTTATTTGACAGAGATCAAATAAATAGGCAGAGAGTAGGCAGAGAGGCAGATAGAGAGAGAGGAGGAAGCAGGCTCCCTGCTGAGCAGAGAGCTGGACATGGGGCTCCATCCTGGGACCTTGGGACCAGGACCTGAGCGGAAGGCAGAGGCTTTAACCCACTGAGCCACCCAGGCACCCCTCTGGGGCTCTTTCTGCCTACAAGCCCTGTCACCAAACCTTACTGAAAACAGGGAATCTTAGTGGCTCAGTGGATTAAGTCTGACTCTTTTTTTTTTTTTTTTTTTAAAGATTTTATTTATTTATTTGACAGACAGAGATCACGAGTAGGCAGAGAAGCAGGCAGAGAGAGAGGAGGAAGCAGGCTCCCGGCTGAGCAGAGAGCCCGATGCGGGGCTCGATCCCAGAACCCTGGGATCATGACCTGAGCCGAAGGCAGAGGCTTTAATCCACTGAGCCACCCAGGTGCCCCTAAGTCTGACTCTTGATCTCATGTCAGCTCCTGATCTCAGGGTCCTGAGTTCAAATTTCTCCACTCTCGGCTCCATCCTGGGCACAGAGCCTACTGAACAACAACAAACAGGTTTTGCACTGAAAATATCTCAGTAATTGTTTCTGGACTGTAGGCTCCTGGCCCACGTCACATCAGTTTCCGCTGGACCATGAAGTCTCGTACTTTGGTGTACTAGACACAGTAACTTCCGGGACTGGAGGTTCTGAATCAGTCCGAGCTCTATCCCATAGGTTTTTATTTTACTCCACGCTCCTGTCACAAACATACTCTTCTGTTTACTTCTTTGTATTTTCGGAAAAAGAAAACAAGAATCACATAATTAACAAGTTTGATGTCTTAAAATCCTGAAATAATAATAGAGCACAAGTGATGATGGAAACGAAAGATTTCCATGAAATGCGATGCTGTGGGGTCATTGAGCTCAACAGTCAAGAAGGAATTCTTGGGACTGTTAAAGGCTCCAGTTGGTCATTTTACTTAAGTAGCAAGTGGACAGGACCTGTGAGCAGAAAAAGATGCACTGCAGCCTGCAGAAAGCTGGTAGCTCCCTGTGAAGTGTGCAAGGTGGAGTGGGGCGGGGCATGTGGGGAGTATTAGATCCTAAGTGTTTCTTTGAATTTCTGTTTGTAAAAGTAGAAATTGTTTGCAAGATTTCTCTGGTGCTTATTCAGTTCGATATTAACTATCAGTGAGATGTACAGGCCGTCACAAGACCTTTAAGAACACAGCAGCCACAGGGTACCTGGGTGGCTCAGTGGGTTAAGCCTCTGCCTTTGGCTCAGGTCATGATCTCAGGGTCCTGGGATCGAGCCCCACATCGGGCTCTCTGCTCAGCGGGGAGCCTGCTTCCCCCTCTCTCTGCCTACCTCTCTGGCTATTTGTGATCTCTCTCTCTCTCTCTCTGTCAAGTAAATAAATAAATAAATCTTAAAAAACAAAAAACACAGCAGGCAGCCCTTATTTGATCCTTACCAGAACTAGGTGGGTTCTCGGCCAGCCTTCTGGCTAACGGTGAACTTTTTTCTGCTTCTAGCCCTCATCATAGTAGACTCAGAAATAATAGCTCTTTTATTTATAGAATTCAAGATGTTTGTGTTGATAGTGTGAATTAAAGACAGACGCAGCATTATCCACAAAGAGCTTTGTAAGTGTCATGTCATTGAAAATGTTTCTTAAATTAGTCACCATGACAGTTCTGCACTCTATCACTTCCAGTGTGTGTATAACTACTTTCTGAATGTACGATGTGTGCACGATTGTGACATGGTAGGTCAGATGTGTGTGGATCTCTTCACGTTTTCATCACTCTTCTCAGGGTTGACACCTGCGGTGAACACTGCTTTAAGTTTCTCCCTGTATGTTGACCTGCTGTCGTTCTAGATCCACGCCGGGTCAACCAGCGTGAAAACCTGATCCCGTCCATGTTACTGGGTGTTTGACAAAATATTCTCATAATAGTAGAAAAATGTGTTTGCTGTCTTAGGGTAATGTTATATATTTTCTGTGAATTTATGAAAAACTGTTAAATGCTCTCTAGTAAAGAGAGTAAACGTGCTGAGAAAGGACTGACTTTGGCTTTCTTGCCATTCCAGTAGAACCTGTAATTGTGATAAAACCCGTTCAGTTCCCTGTCCTCCACAAACTCTTGCCTTGGAGTTCTACCTCTTTGTTATTAAAGAATGTTTACTGGGGCCCACAGGCTACTGCTTTTTTAGAAATGCAGACTCCCGTTTAACCCCAGAACTCCTGAGCATAATCTGCATTTTAATCAGATCTCCAGTGCACTGTTGTGAAATTCTGATTCACTTTTTAATTTAATCAGTACATTTGTAACCCACAAAAACATTCCACCTAAGAAGGAGACACAACTAGGGGCACCGGGGTGGGTCAGTCTGGCGAGCGTCTGCCTTAGGCTTAGGTCATGATCTCAGGGTCCTGGGATCGAGCTCCATGTTGGGCTCCCTGCTCAGCGGGGACCTTGCTTCTCCCTCTCTCTGGCCCTCTCACCCAGCTTGCACTCTCTCTCTCTTTCTCTCAAATAAATAAGATCTCTAAAAGGAAAAGAAAAAGGCACAGCCTATAATGTATGACATAATACAGTACTCAGTAACTTGTTGGGTCTCTGTTGACAACTTCATTTTACAAATTATCTTGGATAAATACACAGTATTTATAATGGTTTTCCGGATCATATGCCATCCTCTTACCTCAAACGTAGAGAACACATTAGAGCATATTACTGTGTTAAAAATTCCCTGATGCATAGAGGAGGAAACTCACCTAAGCCAGAAGCAGTTCTGAGATATAACGCAGAGAAAAGGAGTTCACTCCTTGGGGAATCACAGATGGAAACTACAGCAGGTGGGATTGTTAACGCAGATTTGCGGCATGTAAAGAGATTGGAGGGGGGAACCTGGGTGGCTCAGTGGGTTAAACCTCTGCCTTGGGCTCAGGTCATGATCTCGGGGTCCTGGGATCGAGCCCCGCATCGGGCTCTCTGCTCAGCGGGGAGCCTGCTTCCTCCTCTCTCTCTCTGCCTGCTTCTCTGCCTGCTTCTCTGCCTACTGTGATCTCTGTCAAATAAATAAATAAAATCTTTAAAAAAAAAAAAAAAAAGATCGCAGGGAATAACTTCCAAAGCAGACACTCAGAGAAGCAGAAGGAAGGATTTCGTATTATTTGGGTTTAGGGCAGATGTTCAGAAAGTGGAGCCTTATCTTGTGTAGAGCTAGGCATTAGATGGCCCAAGAGTCTCAAGAAAACCTCTACTTACTTTGATGTTCTGTAATGAGCTTTGTGCTCCTCCTTGGGTGGAGATCTCATATTATCACGAGATTAAGGGAACTGTAGATCACTCCTTGGATTACTCCGTGGTCGTCTGCTTAGCTGTCATAGGAGGGGACGGCTTAAGGTCAAAGTGGGCTGATCCAAGGTCTTCCTCAGGGCAGTTAGTAACCTGTGTTGCATGGTTTGTTTCCCTGGAAGGACACTGTGCCTGGGGGTTTGAATAAAGTAAAAGATAAGGTGGAAAGAAGAGGTTAAGTAAAATGTGGGACAGTCGTCGCAGGGGACAAGCAGGTGAGCAGGGAAGGTCAAGTCTTAGTCTCGGTGGTGGGACGGACCATCATGAACTGTGTCAGTGGCCACTTGGTGACTGTGGTATTTATTACAGGGACTGCTGACATTCAGGGATGTGGCCGTAGAATTCTCCCTGGAGGAGTGGGGACGCCTGACCCACACTCAGCGGCAACTGTACAGGGATGTGATGTTGGAGAACTACGGACACCTCCTCTTCCTGGGTGAGAATGTCTCCTTCAGGTTTCCCAAACCCCACTCAGGGTTTTGTTCCTTCCTTTGTTTTTGTTTTGTTTTGTTTTAAGATTTTATTTATTTATTTGACAGAGAGCGAGCAATTGAGAGAGGGAACGTGAGCAGGGGAGGGGGCCGAGGGGGAAAGCAGACTTCCCACTGACCAGGGAGCCTGATGTGGGACTACATCCCAGTATTGTGGGATCATGACCTGAACCAGACGGCCAACCAACCGAACCACCAGGGCACCCCCACCTGTGTCTTCTAAAGGGGCTGTTGATCAGTAGCATTTGGGAAGTCATTTTCCAGATGTTACAAATGTCTTTTCTTCTCTACTGAGCACGATACTAGATTGAAAATCTCCAGCAGTGCTCATGTTCATTCCTTTTTTCTAATAATCAGGTCTCATTGTGTCAAAGCCAGACCTGGTTTCCTTTTTGGAGCAAAAGAAGGAACCTTGGAATCTGAAGAGAAAGAAGACGGTAGCCTTCCACCCAGGTAGGTGGGAATGAATGAAGCAGATGACGGAGGTGAGGCCCACATGTGGAGGAGGACAATGACCTTGAAATGTGGTTTGAGTAGCTCACCTTGAATGGAAATAATCTTGAGAAACCTAGTTACAGTTTTCTCCTTCTCACAAAGAGATATCTGCTCTCCACCATTATCAAGCTCTCACATTCTCTAGGGATTCTCCTTCAGCTCCAGTGATGGTCTGTCACATCCATAGGGAGGGCCAGGAGACTCCCCTTGGAGTAGGAGGGCCTCCATAATCTGAGAGTTTCTCCATTGCTGTGAGGGCCCTGGGAAGTCCTCCTATTTCCGAGGAACTCTCTGTTAAACCCTTTGTACGTTCTGTTTGCCTCCTATGAAAAGCGTTGTCAGGGTGGTTGCAGGCCTGTTGGGGTTTGGGGCAGAAATTCCGGCAACACTGGAGACAGACATCCCATGTTTTCTGTTTTATGCTTTCCAGTGTGATGGCAGGTTTAATCTTAATTGTACAAAATTGAGACTCAGTAATTTGATCTGCTAACAAAGCACCGTCCTAAAATTAAAAAATCGAATCCTTTATTTCACTTCAGAGGTTAATTTCTGTTCTTATGAACTGAAATTAGAAATTATCACTCTGTTTTCCATTGCTCAGTGGTGAAATAATGTAGCATATCTATTTGTATCTTAGAATTCCTACCTAAATTAATCCCACAGGAGAACTAGGACCTTTAGACCTCAAAACTCGTATCATACAATAAATTCTCAGTTCTTACCTTATTTCTTAGTAATTGGATCATTTTATAATTTTGTCTTGTATGATAGGAATTTCTTTTGACATTGTCGTGTGTGTTTTCACTTATTAGTTACATAGGAGATTCATCTCTCATTTTTAAAAAGTTCTTTCTTTCTTTTTTGGCTTTTTAAAATTTATTTGACAGAGAGAGACACAGCCAGAGAGGGAACACAAGCAGGGGGAGTGGGAGAAGGAGAAGCAGGCTTCCCGCTGAGCAGGGAGCCCAGTGCGGGCCTCGATCCCAGAATCCTGGGATCATGACCCAAGCCGAAGGCAGATGCTTAATGCCTGAGCCACCCAGGTGTCCCTCCTCTCTCAATTTTTAGATCAAAAGTCCTGGTATGACATGGGCATGTGCTTTGTAAGAAGTGAGGTAGGTAATTAGTAAAATCCCTACCCCCATTGTTTTTTGGGGTTTTTTTGTTGTTTTTTTGGACAGATTGAGAGCGAGCGAGCCTGAACACAAGCAGGGGGAGTGGCAGGCAGAGGGAGAAGCAGGCTCCCTGCTGAGAAGGAGCCCGCTGTAAGGCTCGATGTGGGGCTCAGTCCTAGGACTCTGGGATCATGACTTGAGCTGAAAGCAGCTGCTTAACCGACTAAGCCACCAGGCGCCTGTAAAATCCGATATTAAAAAAAAAAATGAATAAATGTAATTTTACTTCATGGAAAATTAATCATTAGGTTTTTCTTTTACTTTCCTCAGAATGTGTCTGAATTTTTTTTAAAGATTTCATTTATTTAACGAGAATAGCAAGCTCCCTAGCACCGACAATGCAGGGGAGCAGCAGGCAGAGGGGGAAGCAGGCTCCCCACCGAGCAGGGATCCTTACATGGGGCTTGGTCCCAGGATCCTGGCATCATGACCTGAGCCAAAGGCAGGTGTTAACCGACCTAGCTGCCCTGGTGCCCCACACCTGTGATTTTTGATAAGTTAATTTTAACGTATCACTATGTTCATGTCTTGATTTGTCTTGTGTAGAATTTACCGAGCATGAAGTTATATCTTTTTTCCACATACGTCACTCTTTCCTTCTGGGGTCCCATTAGTGTACACATGGACCACCTGTTGGTGTCCCATGAGTCCCTTAGACTCCGTCCTTTCCCACATATGTCCTTGCTTCTGTCAACATAGAATTTAAAACTGGGGTTTTTACGTGGTCGAATTCTTTTTCTACATGATCAAGTCTTTGGGGACCCTTAGTGCGCTTTCAAATCCAGTGACGGAACTCTTCAGCTCCTGGTTTTTTGTTCCTTATTGTTACACTTGCTGTCTCTTTGGGTTTGCATTTGGGTCATGCGTAGTTTTCTGGATGCCACTGATTGACCTGTTTTCTCTTCTTCCTCCATGGGCAGCTCTGTGATGGTCATTAGAATTCTTTGTCAGGCAATTCATTGTTTGTTTGTTGGCAATTAATAATTCTGACTAACTTAGGGCCAGTTTCGGAGATGTATTTCATTCCTCTAATGGAACACATTTCTGTTTCTCTGATGCCGTGTGAACTTGCACTGATATTTGGGAATTAAAAAAACAGCCTGGGGGCCCAGAATTATGGACTTGGCTTTCTTTAGTAGTACACAAATAATAGTAATTCTGGGGCCTGTCACGCATGTTCTGGGCCTTTGTCTTGTCTGAGTTTTTGTCGTTTCCCAGTTTAAGGCAGTGAGGTTACCGCTTCAGAGTGCATGATCCCCTCCTCTCTCTGTCTGTCTTCAGTGCTGTCGTCTGTCCAGTGTTTGCACAAAGGCTCACTGTTGGTCTGAGCCGCCCCCACACTGCATCCAGAGGGGCTCTCATTCCCTCTGGGTCCCATGTGGCGCATGACAGAAACAAGTCCCTTAGGTAGCTGGAAAGAATCATGACTATATAGACAACTCACTGTCCTCTCCTGAGGAGAGGTGAGAGTTCTCTCACGGTGTTGCCGTGGAGAGTCAGGGAGGGCGAGCCCCGGTTGTGGGCAAGTGTCGCAAACTCTCCTTGTCTCTTCGTCGTGCCTCTTCTTCCTTCCTACTTGCCTGGGGGAGCTGTGTTCTCCTAACTGGCTTCTGGAACATTCTAAAGGGTAATTTAGTCTATTTTTGTCTCCATGGAGGAGCACAGTCCTCTTTCTCCATTCTGTTGCTGCCCTAGAGTGGGTATTAATTTTGCACATTAGCCTTTTAACATATATGGTGTGAGTTCAGTAAGTGAGATAGCTTATTTTAAATCTGTTAGTTGTGGCTTTCCCTAACACCTCAAGCTTGTTGGGAAAGAGAAAGATTCATTCCATGGAAGGATATGGAAAGATGTGGAAGCACTGGCCCTGAGTATTTATACTTAACGACTGACTGGGAAGGCGATGAGGTGGGGGCTGAAGGGCAGGAAGGATGTCACGATGGATTTAACCGTAACCAAACTGGGACGATTACCCGGGAGGAAATCTTACTGCCAGAAGCGATCAAGGATATAAAACAATTGAGGGAGGGGCACCTGGGTGACTCAGCCCTTAAGCGTCTTGTCTGCCTTCAGCTTAGGTCTGGGATTGAGCCCCACGTCGTCGACTCCCTGCTCAGCAGGGAGCCTGCTTCTCCCTCTCCCACTCCCCTGCTTGTGTTCCCTCTCTCGCTGTGTCTCTGTGTTGTCAAATGAATAAATAAAATCTTAAAAAAAAAAAAAACAATTGGGGGAAAACCCCACCTTAAGTCAGTCATATTGGCAGAACGAGGTCTTTGAACCCAAGGACCCAAATCTTTTTTTTTTTTTTTAAAGATTTTGTCTATTTGTCCGTGAGGGAAGGCAGTAAGCAGAGGAAGCTGCAGGCAGAGAGCTGAGCAGGGAGCCCCATGCGGGGCTGGATCCCAGGACTCTGGGATCATGACCTGAGCCCAAGGCAGACGCTTAATCAACTGAGCCACCCAGGTGTCCCTCCAAATCCATTTTTTAAACATATTTTCTGACGTTTGTTAATTTTGGAAAGTCACCTAGTCCGTGCTGAAAGTAATCATTCAAACAACTTCAAGTATCAAATTGGATTAATCAAGCCATGAAATATTTCTGAAAGTTAGACATTTAAAAATGAAGAAAAAAATTCTGAATGTGATGTCAACCCTCTGTGGTAAATATTTGTTACGTCTCGTGGGCAAAAAATAAATGTCTGTGTTTACATATGTGTGTTTAAGTACACACACAAGCATAGATGATGCTTTCCATGAAATGGATTATTGAAATCAAGTACATTTGAGCGAGATCGGGTGCGTTCAGGATGGTATGGCCGTAGATGGAATCATGTACATTTAGATCTTGGGAAAACAACCCTCCTAGCAACAGTGACAAACTACTGTAGTGTGAAAGAGTATTCGGTAAGATACCTCCTGCGCCTTGCCCGTTGCTTGGTTATCACTGCCTGGATTGTTGTGTTTTCTTTTTTTCAGTTTCATCCTCATGGTTTAGTTCTATCTCTAGGGAAATTCCAGTGGAATATAATGAAGCAAAGTTTAGTGTTATCAGGAACATTTGGTTTCTTTATGTTTAATACGTCAGTGGAGATGTTAGGGCTTAGATATACCACATTGTCGTATTTTTCCTAACACCCTCCCCATTTTTTTTTTTTTTAATTTCTTTCTTGTGTTTTCCTATATGCATTTTTTAAAAGGATTTTATTTATTTATTTGACAGACGGAGATCACAAGTAGGCAGAGAGGCAGGCGGGGGTGGGGGGGTGGGGGGGAAGCAGGCTCCCCGCTGAGCGCTGAGCACAGAGCCCAATGCGGGGCTCGATTCCGGGACCCTGGGATCATGACCTTAGCTGAAGATAGAGGCTTTAATCCACTGAGCCACCCAGGTGCCCCTCCTATATGCATTTGAAGAAAATAATTCAAGGGGTGCCTGGGTGGCTCAATGGGCTAAAACCTCTGCCTTCAGCTCAGGTCATGATCCCAGGGTCCTGAGATCGAGTCCTGCCACCGGCTCTCTGATCAGCAGGGCCCTACTTCCCCCTCCTCTTCTGCCTGCTTGTGATCTCTGTCAAATACATAAACAAAATCCTAAAAAAAAAAAGAAAAGAAAAAATTCTACATTTCCTTCTTTTTTCTGTCAACATTGTATATTCATTGTAAACCATATTGCTTTAGCTAGAGATTAAATATGCTTTGAAAATCTAGCCCTTCCTACATCGAATTTCACCTTGTCAGTATATGTACTCTATGACACTGGTCTTTTTTTTTTTTTTTTTTTTTAAGA